ATTAAATAAATAATTTTTAAAGAAAATAAAAAAAATTAATAAAGAATAAAAAAAAAATACATGAAACACAACACTGCATCAAAACTTGTCTAATCTTTGGAAGCTAATGAAATACAATCTTGCCATCTCTGTCATCCATACAGTATGACATGGGTGACTATTTTAAAAATATCCTTTTGGCCAGGTATGGTGACATGTGCCTTTAATTCCAGTGCTCAGAAGGCAGAGGCAGGTGGATCTTTGTGAGTTCAAGGCCAGCCTAGTCTACATATTGGGTTCTAGGCCAGCTGTGGCTACAGGGAGACCCTTTCTCAAATGAGCTGGAGAGATGGCTTAGTGGCTATAAGCACTGACTGCTCTTGCAGAGGACCCAGATTTGATTCCCAGCACCCACATGGCACCTAACAACCCTCTGCAACTCCAGTTCCAGGGGATCTAACACCTTCTTCTGACCTCTGCATGCACTGCATGACATGGGTCCACTTACATATATGCAGGAAATATAGTCATGCACATTAAATAAAAACAATAAATTTTAAAAAAATTTTTAAAGAGTAAAAACTTTTGTTTTGCTTTTTTTAAAAAAAATTATTTTTATTTTATGTGTATGAATGTATTGCCTGTATATATGTAAGTACAATCATGTCATGCAATGCCTACAGAGGTCAGAAGGTGTTGGATCTCCTGGAACTGGAGTTATAGATAGCTATTTGTTGCCATGTGGGTGCTGGGAATCGAACCCAGGTCCTCTGCAAGAGCAGCCGGTGCTCTTAATAGCTGAGCCATCTCTCCAGTCTTTGCTTTTCTTTTTTACACAGGGTCTCCTTTTGTAGTCCGGGCTGTCTCAAACTCACAATTCTAAGGACCTACCTTCCTGAGTGCTAGGGTTACAAGGACGGGCCTCTGTACAAGGCTAGGACAGATTTATTTTTTTAATTTATGTTGTCTGCGTGTGTGCCTTTGTATGTCTGTGTCTGTGTGTGTGCCACACGTGGGAGTTCCTGGGAAGGCCAGAGGGTGCAGATCCCCTAGAGCTGGAATTATAGGAAGCTGTGAGCCATCCAATGAAGGTGCTGGGGATCCAACTCAGGTCCTCAGAAGAGCAGTAAGTGCTCTTAACCAGTGAGCCATCTCTCTAACTCCTAAGACAGAACATTAAAATAAATAGAAAATAAATAAATAATAAGTAAATAGAAAATAAAAACATATTTCAAAACACATTTAAATTACATTGCAAATAAGCTAAAACTGTAACTTATTCTCTTATTCTAGTTTTAGGTACATTTTAGTATTGATATTAAAAACTCACCAAAAACTATTAAGTTAAAAAAAGAAGTTAAGAAATAACATATTTCACTTGCTCTTTTTAAAGCTCACTAAGTTAAAAGGATAAATTATGCTCATACACATAAATACTCAGTGAGGGCATAAAGAGGGGGTGAGTAGAGACAGGAGAAAATGGAGTATGACTTTACCTTGTTTCTAATTTATATTTAACTCCATGTTGTTCAAAACTATTTCAGTTAAGAAACATTTATGTATTTTTTTGTAATTTTAAAAATGCAACTGCAAAGAGAAGTTTTTGCAAGACAATAACCCCACCTAGTGGAGAATAGAGAACAAAGAAAACCGAATAAATCACTTAGAAATTACTACTGCTGGTGACTTTTTCAGTTAACTGATAAAATAAACTTACAGACTTGAACGCTGATGGCTGGTGGCTTGTTATAATACAGCAGTTCACATTTTGTTCAGTGGTAAGGTTTACATTAAAAGGCTGCTTGACTTCTTGTGCTGCAGCATTTTGTATGCTGAACTAAGGCATGTCATTTTCTTGCAAAAGGCATAATTATAAATTCATTCCTAAAACCAGTCATTCCAAAACCTCAATTAAAAAAAAAAAAAATCTTTGTTCTCTAGAACTGTTCTAAAGATTTTGCACTCTCTTTCATTATACCAACATCCGAGGCTGCAGAGATGGCTCAGCAGTTAAGAGCACATACTGCTCCTATAGTGGACCCCATTTGTTTCCCAGCACCCACATCAGGTGACTCACAACTGCAGTTAACTGCAGCTCTAAGGGGTCTGATGCCTCTGACCTCCATGGGCACCTGCACACATATACACATATAAATAAACAATTAAAAATTAAATAAGTCTTTTAGAAAGACATTTCACATATTTTACTGTTACTAAAATAATCAGGGTTGGGTCAGTGTACAGTGGTGTAGTCTGGGTGGTACAGCACTTGCCTAGCATGCCTTACAAACTCGAGTTCAAGCCAGCCCCAGCACCACATGCACACGTGCACACATCCACATACACACAGAAACACACATACACACCACTAATTGCAATATCAATTCCATATATCTTACTTTGGACTTCTACAGAAGCATCAATGATTGAGACCCTTGTATTTAAGTCCTCCAAATCAAAGTTATCACATTCTTTCAATACTTTGGCTTGGTTGAAGTAATCATTAGTATCCCGTGGCTGAATCTCATTGAGAATAACTTGTAAGCGGCTTGCTGACTCTGAGGGAAAGATGAGTGTACGTTAAAGTCCAGTTCACATCACATGCAGATTTCCCTTGGGGGTACCTTACCTCAAAAATCCTGTCATTTTCAGCAGTGATAATCAGCGGTACTCATAGGATGAAAATTACTTATATAGGGTCTTTCATGATGCTTAAGTGTACTTTTTTTTTTTGGTCTTTTTGAGACAGGGTCACCCTGTAGTCCCAGCTGTCCAGGAACTTACTATGTAGACCAGGCTGGCCTTGAACTCTTAAGAGATCCGCCTGCCTCTGCCTTCCAAGTGCTGGGATTAAAGGCGTGCGCCACCATGGCCAGCCCAAGTGTACTTTTAAGACGTGACAATTTAGGCTGAAAATATGACAAAAACCACAGCTCAAATCATCCATAGGACAATGGCTGCCAGCACTTCTTGATGGCAAATACATATGTACATACAAGTGCACATATATTTTGTGCTTACAAAACTTTATCGTTTCTTTTTATTAGTATACATTGACTATAAATAGTGGGTTTCATTATAACATTTTCATGCATTTTTTAAAATTTATTATTTTTATCTTATGTGTATGCATGTACTGCCTGCATGTAGGTAAGTGCACCCATGTCGTGCAATGTCTGTGGAGGACAGAAGAGACTGTTGGATCCCCTGGGACTGGAATTACACACAGTTGTTAGTTGCCATGTGGATGCTGGGATTTGAACCCAGGTCTTCTGAAACAACAGCCAGTGTTCTTAACCACTGAGCCATCTCTCCAGCCCCTCATGCATTTATATAATGTATTTTGATCATTTTCATCCTCTGTTACCTTCTCTCTTGTTCCCCACCTCCAGGATCCCTCTGATCCCCTTCCTCTTCCTCTTCCCAAGCAGTCCCTCTTCTACTATCATGTGTGTTTTTCAAATCATAACTCAATGAGTTTCATTAAGTTTGCTTACAGAGGGTTTATTTACAGGAACCCAGGCACCTAACCAGTGGCCATATCACTGAAGAAAATGTCTCTCCCTCTGAGGCAATTTTTCGATTTAGCTTTTATATCTCTCAAAGAAATTAAGGGGGGGGTGGAAGGATGGAGGGAGGGAAGGAGGGAGGGGGGAAAGGAAGAGAGAGAGAGAGAGAGAGAGAGAGAGAGAGAGAGAGAGAGGAAAAAAACAACAACAAAAAACAGAAGCACTATGGCCCTGTTCTCTGACCTGAATCAGTGTCCATAGGGATGAGGCCTTCAGGGGAGGAACTCTGGATGACAGGAGACACCACTGCAGAAAGCCTGTAGCACAGCAGCAGCAGCCTCTCCACCACAGGTCTCCACCCACTCATTTGCAGGCTACTGAAACAAGGATATTAGGGACACTTATACCAAAAGCCAAAAATGCATTTAAAAAATGATATTAATGCTGGCTGTGGTGGCACACGCCTTTAATCCCAGCACTCCAGAGGCAGTTCAAGGTCAGCCTGGTCTACATAGTGAGTTCCAGGTCAGCTGAGGGCTACAAGGAGATCCTGTCTCAAAAAGATTTTAAAAAATTAACACAACAGAATTGAAAGAACCTACATTTCAAAATTGTGCAATATATGAAATAGTTAAAGCATAAAAAATATGTACAGATGGGTAGATGCTGAAATCTAATTTTCAGCTCTCTTTAAGGTAATGTAATAATGTTCATTTCCTAGGACATACTCCAATAAGAGGTTAAAGGTCATGAGTATATTTCTGAAACCATAGATAGCCATGAATGTCCTTACTTTAGAGGTAACTTCTGCAAAGCTCCTGTTATACAGTGAACTCTTCCATACAGTGGAAATGAGGATGCAGCCTGAAGCAGAGAACTCTCAGCCTGAGATACTTCATCCTCAAGACTTTCCATCAAGCACCTGATAACTAGAAAAGGCAAGGAAGAAACTGAAATAGCGTTAGTTGTAAAACATATTTATAATTTATGAAAATAGTTTCTATGAAAACACCCAACTCTGTTGGGGGACCCTGCTGCTAAGGTTGCAGTCCACCACATCCAGATAGCTCTAAGGAGCTCGGGGCTGTATGGGGGACTCCCTTTCTCAGTGGGGTCTTCCTGCTCTCTGCCTGACCTTATCTGGAAAGAGCCTCCAAGCACGGATGCCTGGCCTTATTTGAAACATGACCTTTGGCATAGTTACCTGCGATAAACTGCCCCCAGCTTTTTTTCTATATAATTAGGCATTGCCCTATAGCCAGATAGGATCCCCCTTACCACATGTAAATAAAGCATACTATGAGCACCTATCATGTAAAACTTTGGCTGCCGCCTCCACCCTATATTTTTCCGACCCTCACTGAATAAATGAACTGTATCACTGAAACTGACTCCCGGAAGGTCTTTTCCGTCTTGCTCACTGGCTGTCCTGACCCCGTTAGTCACCTCTGCTCCCTTTGTTCTCGTGGGTCGGTGGCCAACGGCCAACGAGGGGAGGGAGAGACCCACACAACTCAACCAAATGCTCAACTAAAGGGTTAAATGTGTTGTGTTTATGTGTATAAGTATGTACATGTTCGTGTGTGTGCATGTGTATATGTGTGTGTATATGTTCATGTGTGTGTGTACAAGCCCAAGTGGTAGATAGATGCGGACGTTTGGGTGTCTTTCCCAATCACTCTCCACCTTATTTTCTGACATAAGGTCTCTCCATGAACCTGGAGCTAAGTTGGCTGGCTAACTCCAGAAATCCACTTGTCTCAGCCTTCCCAACACTGGGATTACAGATGCACACCACCAGGCCTGGCTTTTTAAGTGGGTGTTAGGGATCCAAACTCAGCATTTAGCAACTGAGTCACCTCCCCAGCTCCTATACTAGAGGTTTGAATCAAAGATTTTTCAGTGATTCCCAGCTTGTTACCAATTTCTAACTAAAGACACTGTTAAAGAATGGTATGTCTTCACTTAATTGCCTGGCTCCATGATAACATTCAATCTGAAGCATTCCTTCTAGACATTCTCTAGCAGGGTATCAGGCTCCAGTGCCATGTGGCATAGGCTATTTGACCAAAAGATAAAATTTAATAACTTTATTAAGATACAATTCAGGGGCTGGAGAGATGAGCTCAGGGGTTAAGAGCATTGGCTGTTGTTGCAGAGGTCCCAGGTTCCACTCCCAGCAACCACACAGTAACTAACAACCATTGATAACTCTAGTTGTAAGGGACCTGATGCCCTCTTCTGACCTCTGTGGGCACTGCATGCATGGATGCACTTACATACATGTAGGCAAAACAATCATGCACATAACATAAAAATAAATAAACGGAAAAAATTTAGACATACAATTCAGACATTTAAAGTGTACAAGTTGGCCAGGGAGATGATGGATCAGTGGGTAAAGGCACCTGAAACCCAGCATCTCTTCACCTTGACATACACAAAGGCATATGTACACCCATACCCCCTGTTGTATGAAACTGTTCAAGAACCTCACCCCTACTTTGGGGCAGAGAGTCACAGGGTCCATGCCTGAGAGTCCAGCCACACCTCCCAACCCCTGATGAACAATTTAGCCCTAATGGCATACGGCTTGGGGGAGGGGCTAGAGTAGATAGACCAGGGAAGACTAGTGGAGGGTCTCTCTCAACATTTTGTGCTGCTATGGGGAAGCCATCATCCATGTTTGGGTAAAGTCTTTCTGGTGCAGCATTATGGGAGGAACACCCACTATGCTGTAAATAAACCCTCACCCACTGCTCTGTAAGTAAATCCAATAAACAACTGGTTTCCCAGAGTGCACTTTGGTGGAATCATACCTCAATTTTTCCTTGGAACCAATGGAAAAGGGAATGGATGTAGTTTACATTCATTTTAGCAGCACCCCTCTGCATACACAATAAATAAATGTAATAAAAATTTAAAGTGTACAAGTTAATCATTTTGGTAAAGTCAGATATATGCAAACAAAGCACCATTCCAGAATATTTTCATTGCCCATTGCAACAACAACAACAAAAAAAAATCAACTTTATTCAGGAGTTGTTTCTCTTCCTGCACCCTTCGCCCTTCATCTACCCTAGGTAACCACTAATTTATTTTACCCCTATAGATTTGCCCATTCTAAGCCTGGTATGGTGTGCACTTGTAATCCTCGTACTACTCGGGAGGTGGAAGGAGAAAGATCAGAAGTTCAAGACCAGCCTCAGCTACATAGCAAGTTTGAAGCCAGCCTGGGTTATATGGGACCTTGTCTAAAAAACAAAACAAAAAATAGATTTGCCTATTTTAGACATATTATAAATAGAATTATATAACATGTGGCTGGCTTGGTTCACTTTTCAAAATGTTTTCAAAGTTCACTGAGGCAGTATTAATACTTTATTCTTTTACATGGTTGAATTATAGTCCACTATACAGTGTAACACATCTTAGTGGAATCAGCTAATGCACATATACATTGTTTCCACTTTTACACAATTATGCTGCTATGAACATTCTCACTTCTCTGGGTATATACAGTAATAGACTGCGTATCTGTGTGCATACCAACCCCAGCAGTGTAAAAAGGTTATACTTTCTCCACATTTTCATTAACATTTGTAATCCAGATATTATTATTATTATAGCCATCCTACTAGGCATGAAGTGTTTCCTCCTTGTGATTTTGATCTGCATTTCCCTAAAAGCTAATGATGCTAAGTATCTTTTCATGTTCTTGCTATTTGCTTGATTAGTTTCTTTGAAGGAATGTCTATTCAAATTCTTTGAGCATCTTCTGAATTTGATTCTGTCCAAATTAATGAGCTGTGTAAGTTCTTTATATATTCTATACAGATAGAACTCTTTTGAGATATAAGATTTATAAATATTCCATTTTGCAGAATGTCATTTTACTTTCTTGAAAATGTTCTTTGACACACAAAAGTTGTAAATTTTGAAAAAGTCCAGTCTTTTATTTTTGTGGCTCATCTTTTGGAAGTCACACCTAAGAAACTACTGCTTTCACCAAGGACCACAAAGACTGATATCCATGTTTCTCTCCTAAGAGATTTGTTTCTGTTTTGCCTTAGAGTTTTAATCTATTTTAAGCTAATTTGTGTACATGGTATGAAGTAATGGATCCAATTTCATTCTTTTGCACTTAGATATTCAGTAAGCCCAACAGAGTAGATGACTAAATTTTAGAATTGTATATAACACCTCAAAATCAATAGAAGAAAAAAAGACCAACATTCCCAAAGGAAAAAAATTAAGGATATCAACAATCATTTTGCCAAAGGGGAAAAGAGGATGGCTTATAAACATGTAAAAAGACATGTACATTATTAATCAAACAGGTGGGATGGGTGACTCAGGTCTGTAATCTCAGCTCTCAAGACACTGGGGTAGGAAGACTGTCACAAGTTCCAGGCCAGTCTGAGTTGAGGAATGAGACCTTGTCTCAAACAAAATGAAAGAAAGAAAAATGCAAAATGAAACAAAAATATAATACCATATTACCTTCTGCAATTTTTAAAAAATATGACAATAGCAAATTGTGGTGATGATGCAATACAACTCCCAATTTTTTAGTAGGAGTGTGATATGAAATCTATTTGGTATCAATTCATAAAATTGAAGGTGTCTCCTTATGACCAGGTTATTTCCCACTTTTTTGTTTACCATGTCTTAGACATTTGTACATTACAAAGCTTACATGAGAATGTCCACATTCACTTTATTTATTTAGAAAGGTTTATCAACAGAATAGTTTAATAAATTGTGGTAAATTTGTATATCATATGTGGCACTGTTTAAAATCATGTAAAACTAAACAATATTGTTTAATGACATACATGCACATACATATGTGATAAAACTATAAAGAAAAGCAAGATGAAAGATCAATATAAAGTAAGGGAGAGGCTTAAAGGATATAGGTGCTATTCTATCTTTTTTTTTTCTCTTTAAAAAGAGAGACAGGGAGGGCTCAGTGGGTAAAGAGGCCTGCCATCAAGTCTGACAACCTGAGTTTGATCCTTGGGACACACATGGTAGAAGAGAAATAACTCCCACAAGTTGTCCTCTGACCTTCACAAGTATGCTGTGGCATGCACCATACACACATACACACACACACACACACACACACACACACACACACACTCACACACACACAAGAATAAAAAAATTTTTTAAAGAGAGAAATTGGGAGGCTAGGGATGTAGCTCAGTTGGCACAGTGCTTGCCTATCATGCACAAAGCCCTAGGTTCAAACCTCAGGACTGCACTTCATAAAACTGGGCATGGCAGAGCATGCCAGTAATCCTATCGCTCGGGAAGTAAAGGAAGGAGGATCAGAAGCTTAAGCTCATCCTTGGTTACACAGTATGTTTGAGGCCATCCTAGGCTACAAGAGACCCTATTTGAAAAAAAAAACTTTTTTTTTAAGGAGGAAAAGGAGGGATGAGAGAAATGGCTTACTAGATAAAATGCTTATTATACAAGCATGAGACCTGCATAAGACTCCCTAGCACCCATGTAAAAGCTTGGTTTGATGGCACACATTTGAAACCCAATCAGTGAGGAGAAGCAGAGACAGGCAGGTTCTGAGGGTACTGTCTAGTCAGTCTAGCAGAAATGGTAAGCTCCAAGTTCAATGACATAAACTATCTCAAAAAATATGGAGAGATGGCTCAGTAGCTAAGAGCACTGGCTGCTCTTCTCATCCTTAACTCTAGTTCTAGGGGATCCAATGCCTTCTTCTGGCCTCCATGGGCACTGCACGCAGAGGTGCAATTACATACATGTAGGTAAAACACTCATACATATAAAACAAAAATAAATAAAGTGGCAGACTAGGGAGATGGTTTAGTGGGTAAGAACACTTGTGCAAACACGAGGATCTGAGTTCAAATACCCAGAGCTGGGTGTGATCAGACACCTGTAACCCCAGCACTGTAGGCGGTAGACAGGAGCTCTCTAGGACTTTCTGATCACCAACATTGCTCCGGGTTCAGTTAGAGATCTTGTCTCAAGAGAATAAAGCAGAAAGTGATAGGACACGACACAATTTTCTCTGGCCTCCATGCACATGCACACAAATGTGTACATATACCTATACACACATCACTAACACAAAAACTTTTTTAATTAAAAAAATTTTGTTCTTAAAATAAAAAAATAATAAAAATTTTAAATAATAAGGTAGAAAAGAGTGAGGAAAACATCCCAACATCAACCTCTGCCTTGGCATGCACCCACACAAGTGAGCACACTCTACACACACATACAATACACACACTCTCTCTCTCTCTCTCTCTCTCTCTCTCGCTCTCTGTTTTAGAAGAGACAGAGAGTTGGGGCCTCACTATGTTTCCCAGGTTCCCCCATGAACTCCTGGGCTCAAATGATCTTCCTGCGTCAGTCTCCCAAGTAGGTAAAACTACAGGTATACTCCACCACACCTAACTAATATATAGTACTAGGGATTAGAACTCAGGGTTTCATATATGTCAAGGACATGCTCCATCAGTAAGCTATATCCCAAATTGTTTTACTTCTTAAGTTGAGCATTATTACCTAGCTTATAAAGTTTTTATATTATTCTATTTGAACCTTATATATTTGAATGTTCTTTATGTCTGAAACATTGCTTAAGTTCTAAAATGTCTTTGAAAGCCTTTCTGTGAAGTGCTCCTACTATCTTATCAGGGTCTTCATTTGAACTCAATCTTGAAGCAATTAGAGTAGACAAGTGTCCTCCTCCATGCCACCATCACCTCTCTAGCCCGATTCCAGACACACTCCCTCCCGTCAGGAGCTGCCAGTGGTCTCTCATTCTCTCCCACTACTTGTTCTTTTTCTCATGGCCTTTTCTACATTCTTGGAAAGAATAATTGTCAACTTTCTATATTTGATCTCCTTTTTAAAAATATTTATTATTTTTATGCCTATGTGTGTATCGCCTGCTTGTAGGTAAGTGCAACCATGTTGTGCAATACTGCGGAAGACAGGAGAGGCTGTTGGATCCCCTGGGACTGGAGTTACGGACAGTCATTAGCTGCCATGTGGGTGCTGGGATTTGAACCCGGGTCTTCTGCAAGAACAGCCAGTGTTCTTAACCGCTGAGCCATTTCTCCAGCCCTTGATCTCCTTTTTGTTATTAAAAAGAAATCTCGATTAGTCCTCATTTCTAGAACAATTCCAAAAAGGAAGATTTACTAACATAAAATTAAGCTCACAAATTTCTATTAAATACTTAACAGAAAATCACAAGCTCTAACCTCTTAGATCCTAGGCTTTAGAACTGGCTACATGAAGAGTAAAGGAAGAGGCAGGGCAACCAATTAGAATGCAAACCCCAACAAAGTAATTCTGCTTTGTATAGACACAAAGGAGGTGATCTGCCCCAGGTCACAGCAAAATCATCGCAGAAAATAGCACACTTTTAAGTAGAGAAAGAGCTTGCCCTCTTTAAAACATGCCTAATTAAGGTACATTTGGTCATCCACTTATTTAGCATAAATCTGCTCAGAAATTAAGTGTTAAAGCTGAATAAACTATTCATTTGCATAAATGGAATTCTTGATTCCCTTAATGCTGGCAAACTGTTAAGTTAAAAACCAGAAAGTAAATGTTGAATTATTAGCTACTCTAATCAAATAGCAAGTAAGATATGAGGTTTGCTAAGTAGCAGCAAAAGGTCACTTCCTCAATACAAACCCATGAGCGTATTCCTTTCCACCACAGCAGCAGACTTATCTCCATCTCCACATGTGACTTGCTGGGCTAAGGAGGTACACAGGGAAGAGGGCAGAGCATCCTGCCAGATTAGAAAGTTCAGCAAGTAGGAGGCTGTCACACAGTCATATGGTTTTGTGCTGGTGCTGAGCTCCAGTGCTGCCTGGAACAAGCCCTGCAGTTTCTTAGAATCCTAGAAATATAAAGCATAGACTCAGTCAACACCATGGAAAGGGTTCTGTAACTTGAAGGAATGGTACATATTTAAATTCACTGCCTATCACATAGCTGTGACTGAATATGAATATTAAGGAACATAAATTTCTTTTCTCCCTGGATATAGGCTACTTCTGTTAAGTAACTGAAAATCATTAATCTGTTCATCAATGAAAGCCTTGAATATAATTTCAATTTGAAAACTCAATATTGATAAATATACTTTTTTAAAATCGCCCTGTTTTTCCTTGTTAGCAAAAGTTTAGTTTTCCCTGTAGAAATCTGCTATCCCTCTAGCCAGACCACTTCAATATTTCTACACAGAACAGAGGTTTGGTTCAGTTTGGTTTCTCTCAGTTTATGTTTTCTCTGAGCACCACACTCCTGCTTTTCTCCTTTTCCTTCCCATATGACTTGTTTCATGAAGAATACATAACCATAGAAAGGATCTATATGTAAATGTAGAAAACAAAGTGATCAGATGAGTCTCAGAAATTGAGCATCCAAACTGGCACACTTGTATCTCATTAAGTGTCTACTCACAGTCTGCACTAAAAAACACAGACTAAGGGATATTCGCTATAACAGCCACAGAAGCACTGGGTGGAAAACAGGGGGCATGGATCCCAGAACCAAGTCCACAGCTGTTGAGCTAAATGTTCACTAATCTGGACATCAGGGTTCGCTCAGTGATATTCTGATTCTATCTGGATTGTTCCATAACTGTCTAATAAAGGAGAGAAATTAAAAACATATCTTTGAACTTGATTATTAGTACATTACATTTAATGATATCTAACAATTTCAAGATAGTAAGTATCAAACATACTGCTTTGAATATCCGTTTATCTCTATTTAAATTCTTTTCCATTCACTCTGTTTAATTTTCTAAAACTTTAAAATAGTGGCCAAAAGGTGAAATTTAAATAATTATCAGAAGGTACCAAGTAAACATGAAGAGTCATTTTTCTGACACTCTTTAAACTATACTACCTACCAATTAGTAAGAAACATAATAAACAACCTTAAAACCTAGAATACTTTTATTCTACTTAGATCAAAATATTAATTCAAGGGCCCAGTGAGATGGTTCAGCAGGTAAAGGTGCTTGCTACAAGCCTGACAACACGAGCTCAATTCCTGGGATCCACATGGTAGAAGGAGAGAACTGACTTCCACAAGCTGTCCTGTGACACCCACCTTAAAACATACCCAATACGAGCCGTGGCACTTATGCCCTCATGCACATACACACACGCAAACAAATTTTTTTAATGTAAACGAAATTTGAAATATAAAGACTAGGATACGTTGCTCCACAGAAAGAATAGCAATAAACCAGGTGAGTATTAAGGGCAGATATCAAAAAGATGCACCATTGCAAACAAGTATTATACACGGGTATTAGAGGTTAGGCTAGTGTTCAATAAATGCTTCAATGTTAATTATATTGTTAAAAATAATTATATACTAAGCCAGGCATGCTGCTGAATGCCTTTATTCCTAGCACTCCAGAGACAGAAGCAGGTGATCTCTGTGAGCTCAAGGCTGGCCTACTCTACACAGAAAGTTCAGGTTAGCCAGGGATACACAGTGAGACTGTCTCAAAAATAAATAAATAAATAAATAATAAATACACACTGTACAGTATATAAGACAGACTTTGGAAAATATAACTAATATTCTTAAATCTTAAATATCTATTTCAATGACCATCTTATTACTATGCAATCAGACTGGAAAGTAGAGCAAAACCCCTAAAGCAAGCCAGTCTAGGGATAAAATTTCCTAAATTTCAGTTGTCTCCGTGGTAAGTACATATTTAAGGAGTTAAGGCCACAGAGGCCGACTAAGGGCCCTCCACAGCTTCTTTAAGAATCAGGTCTTTCTATAAATGACCTTCTCCACTCCAGACACTCTCAAATATTTGACAGGAATGAGGCATAGCAAATACATATGATAGAAGACTGCATGCAATGAATAGGAAGGGAAGTTGAGCTGACAGACAAGAGAAATCTCTTATTTTAAAACTATAGGTCGGGGGGCTGGAGAAATGCTCAGCGGTTAAGAGCACTGGCTGCTCTTGCAGAGGATGCAGGTTTAATTCTCAGCACCCACATGGTGGCCAACAATCATCTGTAACTCCAGTCCCAGAGAACCAAAATCCTCTTCTGACCTCTGCTGGCATTGCATGACACAGCTGCATCCACCTACATGCAGATAATACAACCATATACATAAAATAAAAATAATAAACAAAATTTAAAAAGAAAAATTTAAAACTGTACAGAACACAATTAGCAGAGCAAGCACCAAACACTTTCTGTTCACCAAGGCACCTTGGAAGACCACAGATACAGGCAGATATCATAGAGCAATTCCTAATCTGGACACAAATCAGAAAAGACACCCTGATATACTTCAATGCCATGGCAAAGCCACTAAAAGACGCTGTGCTGTCTGACATGCACTCCTCTAAATCCTATATGATAACATACCAAACTCTATGTCACATCCTAAATAGAGCCTAACAGCTGTAGCCCAGACCATGGCTCAGCTGAAGCCCTTGCTGGCACTCTGGAGAACATTAAAAGAAAGCTATAGCAAACAGGGCCACTACTCTGCTGGTGACCCTACAGCCCCAAAATAAGCCTCAAAGGTAGAACAGAACGCCTGGCCATGGGGTCTCCTGCAGATACACACCACAGCCTTCACTTCTAATTCCACGTTTGATTCCTATCCCAAGGCAGGAAGAATAAAGTGTCAGGGAGAAGGCTCGGGCTGGAGTTGCCACCCAGACTGAGGCATGGATTGAGGCCTGAGCTGGGGGTAGAGCACTTAGGGAGAGAACTGCTGTTAACCTCAAATACTCTGAAGTTTCAATCTCAGTTTAGCTATTGCTTGTTGGAACACCAGAAATGCATTCTCTACTTCATTTACACACAGTTTCTCAGTCTACTAATCAGGAAGATTATCTTTTAAAACCCAAAATTACAGTAAGTGATGTGTTTTCATTGAATTAATATTACAAGCCCAGGGGAACTGGGGAGGCCTCATAACTGAAATCTACCAATAATCTTGTAAACAATTAAACCTATTGCCTCCTATACTTCCCTTTTCATCAAAGCAATTATTAAAAGCACAGCTCAATGACTTGGACTTTTGCCGTTTTCCACTGTCTTGCAAGAGTAGAGATATGATGGTAACTGAGACACTCAGAAGACCTAGGAAGGCAAAGAGCTGGATAATCCTGACTGCTTCACCTAGGCTAAAACAAAGGCTTTGTGTATCTACACATTTACATAAGGAAAGCCTCAATACCTGGAACTGTCCAGCTGTTACTGATAATTTCATCAGAAGATCAAATGCCAAAGTTTTCACTTCTTCAAAAGTGCTGGTGAAACATTCCACTAGTGTTTGGAAACGATGGAGATCAATATCATGCCTTAGCTGATACACTGTGTGGATGGCACCTAAAAAAGTTACGTAAATAAGCAAAGTGAAGTAAAGGAAAAAGAAATCAACTGTCCGAAGTTATCTGGTCAAATTTAGAGAAGATATCTACTTCAACCACAATACGATTTCACTTTATACTTATCTGTATATCATATATCACCTACAACAGCATAAAACAGCATTTCTTCAAATGACAAAACATTAAGGACTTCAGTTTTACAAATAAGAAATAGACTTTTTTTTTTTAAGATTTAAAACTATTATTTTCCTTTCAAAAGGCATTATATAAAAGATTTCTAAATTATTTTTCAAGTGAAAAATAAATTTAAATAAACAAACTTAGGAGTACACCTTTCAAATACATCAAATAAAACTTTCTGACCCAAGATCCAAAGTCTTAGAATGAGATGACACAAAATGACCAGTATGGTGACATGTCCTATGATTTTTACACTGATTCACCCAAAATTCCTGGGATAAATCCACTTGGGGGCTGCAGAGATGCTCAGCGGTTAAGAGCACTGACTACTCTTACAGAGGACCCAGGGTTGATTCCCAGAATCCACATGTGGCTAACAACCATATATAACTCAAGTTCCTAGAGAGCCAATGCCTTCTTCTGACCTCCAAGGGCACTGCACAACATGAGTGCATTTACAAACGTGCAGGCAATACACTTATACACATAAAAAACAAAAATAAATAATATTTTTTAATACTACTTGGTCACACTGTACAATATTTTGGGGGGCTGGAGGGATGGCTTAGCGGTTAAGAACACTGTTCTTGAAGAAGACTCAGGTTCGAATCCCAGCACCCACATAGCAGCTAATAACTGTCCATAGCTCCAGTTCTTCTGTCTTCCTCAGGCACTGCATGAAACGGGTGCACTTACCTACATGTAGGCAATATACACAAACACATAAAATAAAAATAACAAAATATTTTAAAAAAATAAAATCTCACTTGGTCACACCGTAAAATATTTTTTAAATACTATTTGGTTTTGTTTGCTATAATATTTTCCTGAAGATTTCTGCATCTGTACTCATACATTGGTCAATAGTTTTTTTCTTACAGAGCCTTTATTATTTGGCACATACATTTATTTATTTATGTATGTATATGAGAGAGTAATAGGTGGGCACACACATACGGAGATCAAGAGACAACCTGTGGAAATCAGCTCTTTCCTTCATCATGTTGGTTCTAAGGATTGAACTCAGGTGAGTAGGCTTAGTGGCAAGCACCTTTACCCACTGATCCATTTGATGGTCTTCTTACAGTCTTTATTTGCCTTTCTAACGAGCTTTATAGAATGAGTCAGGAGGGGGTCTTGCCTTGCCAATTTTGTGAAAGACTTTGAGAAGAGATGTTAATTCTTTAAATGTTTGGTTGAATTCACCAGTAAAGCATTTGTCCTAGACTTTGCTTATCTAGAACACTTTGTATTGGTCTTTGCTGGTTGGGTTTTTTTTTTGGGGGGGGGGGGTTGAGACAAGGTCTTTGCTATGTAGAAGGGGTTGACCTCCAATTTGAGGTTCTCCTGCCTCAGCTTCTCAGGTGCTGGGATTATAGACATGCACTACCACACCAAGCAGCTGAGAGGGTTTTGATAACTGATTCTATCTCTTATTTGTTTTAGCTTTATTCACATTTTTGTTTTCTGGGATCAACATGTACATTTCATATAGATTATTTAATTTGTTGGCATGTAATTGTTCATTATATTATTTTATAACCCATTTTATTTCTGAAAATGAGGAAATGTTCTACTTCATGACTGATTTTCTCTATTTGTACTTTCTTTTCCTTAATCTCTAGCTCCAAGTTTTGTCAATTTTGTTTATCTCTGAAAAAAACAGCTGCTGATTCTGTTGACTCTCTATTTTTCTCTTCTATTTTAGTGATCTCTACATCCTTCCTTCTGCTGGTTTCACGCTGTTTGCTCAGTTTCCAGTTTCTTGAAGTACTAAGGTTTTGATCTGACATTGTTCTTATTTTTTAGTGTAAAAATTTAGAATTATAAACACCTTGATGGACACTGCTTTTACACATTCCGTAAGTTTTAGAAGTATATTGTGTTTTTGCTTTCCTTCATTTCAAAGTATTTTTTAATTATCTATTTTTACTTTTTGGCAGTGCTAGGGATCAAACCCAGGACCTAGCACACACTAAGCAAGCACTCCAGCACTGAGACAAATCCCTAAGTTTTTCTTTGTGATCTCTTCTTTGACCCACTGTTTAAGAGCTTTGTTTAAATCTGAATGTTTCTCCACCACCACTGCATGAAACACTGCATGCTTCTTTCTTCTAAAGACAATCCATATTCCCCATTATCTTCCTGAAATATTTTTTCATAGAAGTTATCTTCATCTCAAGTTCTACATATTACTAATTAATGTTTCCCTTCATTAAATAAATATTACTCTGCTTTGTACACTGCAAACACTTGTAACTTTTTTATCTTGTATACTATGGCATGGAATTTTGCATAAGAAAGATACATGAGTCCCGTTCTTCATGAATTAGAAAATATGTAAGGAAAGGCAGAAACTACTTTGATTTTAAATCATAATCCTCTGCCACATTTGTTTAGGGTGTATGTGTAGTGCTGAGGAATGAATCATGTATACGTGCGGCAAACATTTTACCACTGAGCTACAAAAGCCCCTCAAATCACTGTCCTCTTTTTCTAAAAGAACATAAAATCCTCACATTAAAGTTCTTGTGATGGGGGCTAGAGAGATGGCTCAATGGTTAAGAGCACTAGCTGTTCTTGCAAAGGACCCAGGTTAGATTCCCAGCACCCACATGGCACCTAACAACTCTAGTTCCAAGGGATTCAATGGCTTCTTCTGTCCTCTGTGGGCATTGCACGACACGGGTGCACTTACCTACATGGAGGCAATACATGCATACACATAAAATAAGAAGTAATAATAAATAATTTTTTAAATTTTAAAAAATAAATTCTTGTGATGAAGATGAAGGATGTGTTTACATTTTCCATTCTATACTTCATAGTCACGGTTCCTCAGCCTCCTTTTTTGTTTTAATTTTTTACTGAGCTTTTGTACATTTCATAAACAGTTCTTAATCAAATTTAAACACCCCCCTCATCCATGCCCCCTCACATATACACCCTCGCTGGACGGCATGCATTCCGCCATACATGTTAAGTCCCATCCAGTCAAGCATTTGTACTCAGATGTCCCTCAGTGCAAATTCATCCCCTGGAGTCTAGTCAGCCTATCTAGAGATTGTAAGTAATGTCTACCCACCCTCACCCAGCAGTAATCAGTCTCCAACAGTTCCCAGGCTAGGGCCGGCCCACCCATTTCCCCCGCTCTACTCTAGGCCCTTGTCTGACTGAGTTGGCATAGGTCTTGCGCTCCATGCCATCACTGCCACAAGTTCCTATGTGCAAGCTTTCAGTGGCCTGAAAGCCTCTGTTTCCCTACGTTCATGGACCAACTCTGGCTCTTACAATCTTTCCACTCCCTCCTCCGCAATGGTTCCTGACCCATGGGTGGGTGAGGTTTTATATAAGTCCTATCCAGAGACTCCTCAGCCTCATTTAAAAGTAATAAGTATGGTATGTTGCATTTGCACTGCCTCCCACTTGTTTCATTTATATAATTACAATGATCAATTACACCCAATTCAATTATATGTGATTCATTCATTAGGAAAATGACTTAGGTTTTTCACTTTCAAAGTGTGTATACTTTGGTACTTATATACAAGGTGTGTGTGTCTGTGTGTGTGTGTGTGTGTGTGTGTGTGTGTGTCTTGCAAGATGGCTCAGTGGGTAAAGGCTCTTGCCACACAAACCTGGCAACTTGAGTTCAATCCCCAGAACCCATGTAAAAGGTGGAAGGAAAGAACTGACTCCACAAAAGTTATATCCTCTAACCTCCACACACATGCTGTGGCATGTATGTCCACCCCACACATATCACACATACTGTATAAATACACAATATTTTTAATTCAAAGTACACACACACACACACACACACACACACACACACACACACAAATGTGTAAGAAATTATGAAAGATACACACAGTTTTTTAAGACATGGTCTCATGCAGCCCAGGCTGGCCTTAAATTCTCTGTGTAGCTGAGGATGTCCTTGAACTTCTTATCTTCCTGTCTCTGCTTCCCCAGTCCTCAGTATTGGAATTATAGGTGTGTACCACCATGCACAGTTTGTTCTGTACTGGGGAAATTAAACCCAGTGTGTTGTGTAAGTTACGCAAGCACTCTACCAAGTGAGTTACGTTCCCCAGCTCACAAAATATATTTAAATAAATTAAATTATTCCCTAACAGAACCAGTCTCATTCAGCCTAGTGCTTTTTCCTATATACTTATATACGGCTGTAAGTACAATAAATGTGCAAAAACAAAACCAAAAAAAGTTATCAAACAGATAAAGTAATAAATCACTTCCAGATAAAATAAGTTCAGTTGTAGTACCACTGAAATTCCCTAGACTAGTGGGTGGCCTATAGTCATCTTACCTAGATGGTACAACACATGGTCAGTTACAGTTCTGGAAGCAAGAAATCCAAAAGGAAAGGATCAATGGAGCCATGTTCACTCCAGAGGCCCTAAAGGAGCCTCTTACGTCTTCTAGGGCCTCAACTATTCTATAGTGTGCAGCTCTAGTACACCAGTCTCTACCTCTGCTGTCTTGTTGTCTCCTCTGTGTCAATTCTTTGTCTCTTCTGAGGCTACTTCTCACTTGTTGCTATTCTGATCATGAAGATTATCTTATCTCAATATCCTTAATTTAATCACATCTGCAAAGATCTTTTTTCCATGTAGGTTCACATTCATGGATTCTGAGGATTTGATGTAGATTATCTTTCGAAGGTAATTTTTCAGGCTACCATCTCCACTAAAATGAGGTGATCAAATTGACCACTGTAAATGGAACATGGCAACATTGTGTATCTCCTGGTATGATGCCCAAGATGAACTCCAAGTCACCTATGCAGTACTACTACCAAAGAAAAAACCCAACGAGACACATTCTTCTAAAATGTTAAAGCCATAAAAAAAACTTTCTAGATTAAAGAATGTGAAAGACAGGCCCAACAGAGACATGCAATATGTGATCTAGGACTGGTTCCCAGACTGTAGGAAAAAAATTTTTTTTCTCTCTAACAGGCAATTTGTTGGGACAACAAAACGCTAATATGGATTATATAGTAGATGTGATCGTTAGTGTTAATGAAAAGAATCTAAAATCACCTGGAAAGGGTGTCTCACTAGACTATACAGATCAGATGATCCTCTGGGCTTAAAGGTGGAAGATTATCTTGATTATGCTAATTGAAGTCGGAAGACCAGCCTACTGCTGGACGGCATCATTCCCTAAGCATAGAGGGGATCCTGAACTATTTGAGAGTGGAGAAAAATGAGTTAACCACAAGCATGCATGCATTAATTTACTGCACTCTGCTCTTGACTGTGAAAGTGATGTAACCAGCTACTTCAAGTTCCTGGCACCCTGACTTCCTATAATGAATTATGAGCCAAATAAAACCTTTCTCCCTTAAGTTGCTTTTGTCAAGGTGTTTTATCACAGCAATAGGAAAATAAATTAGTATAGAAGATAACAGCACCACATCAATATTGAATTCCCTGAGCTTTCTGGGTGTGATGGGACACAACTTGAATCCTAGTACTAGGAAAGCACATACAGACATCTGTGAATTTGAGGGAAGCCTGGTCCACATGGCAAGTTCTGGGCCAGTCAGTATAGTTCAATCAGCATGCTTCAGGTTCAGTGAAGTGACACTATCTCAGTAAAATAAGGTCACCTCTGGGCTACACACACACACACACACACACACACACACACAGACACACACACACATATGCACATGCACACACATGTGTGTGCATATTTACCCCCCCACATATATGCATCAGGTGAACACATTTGCATACACCACAGGTAACACACATCACACACACAAAGGGAAAAAAATGAGAAAAAAAGAGAAAAAAATATTGAAGGAAGAAAGCTAAATGTTGATTCTTTTGAATACTCCACAGAAGAAAAGACAAAGCTTGTCATTAAACCAGAATGCCTGGAAATGACATCCTTTTAATGTCTTTTCCGAAACCAGACTGGGGCTTACGAAGCAGATAGCATACAAGAGAAACCACATTTTAGCCACAAAGCCTCAATGAGGAATAGTAAATATAAGATAAGTCATTATGGTTTTAATTTTAAAACTTAACAGATGAGGCCCTCTCTTAAAACAAAACTAACAAATGAGATAGGTGAACTCCTGCCATGATAAGCAAGCAGGATACTAAAGAAAGACAAAAAGTGAAACTTTAAGTAAAGCAAAATGCTAACAAAGTGACAAAGTAGTGTTTAAAAGAAAAAAAATTACTTTCTCCAAACATTAATGAAATCTTACCTTCCAAGACAGGAAAAACTTCAGCTATTGATCCTAAGATGGTTAAAGCTGAAAATCTAGTTGAATAGGAAGATCCAGGAAACAATGCTTCAAAAAGAATGTTGCAAATAGATGACATGAAATTCTAAAATAAAAGCAAACGTTTAATTAAGTATCATTAAGCTCATTCACAATTAGGTTACCCGCCCCCCCCAGAGCAGGAGCTTTTGTTCCACTTAATTAACACAGCAAAGGTTTTAGGGTTTTTTTTAAAGTCCTGGTTTTACTTGATTATTCAGTTGGACACCTACTAGAGTTCGGACAGTTTGTCCCTCAAAGGTTCATGTGCTTAGTTTGGCTCCCAGCAGGGCAGTTTGGAAGTAGTAGACCTTTATGAGGCAGGGCCTAGTGGAAGATAATTAAGTCCTGGGAGTTCCACCTCCAGGAATGGATTAACCCCTTCTCTCAGGAGTGAATTGGATATTTTAAGACCTTATGAATTCCTAAGAGAAGGGTTTGGTTACATTGCAAGTTCTTTTTCTCAGCTTGCTCCCTTGCGTCCACTCTTAAACATGTGTTCCTTCCACACTATGCTCACTATTCTGACATTAGTGGCACAGGAAAATCCTTATCTCTGCGGTTTGTTCGTCCCAGCTGCCAACCTTTTTCTTCACAAAGTTCTGTCCTTTCCAAAGTGTCTAGCCTCAGGTATTTAGATGGACTAAGACAATACTCATGACCACAAATTAAATCATGACCTTAATAACCCTATCTTTGTAGAGTCAACAACAAATACAACTCCTATTGTAGTTCAGATAAGAAAAAAAACATATTTTTGGTAAAAACAAGATTTGTTCAGTTCCTGTCTCCTCTAGAGGTTTATACATACTAACTTCTCTAGATAGAAGCACTCGGGCATCAAAGGTATGAATATGCTGTAATGTCTTAAAAAATAAAGATAACCAACTGATTACTTAATAAATTAGCTATGACATAATTCATTCAAATATCCAAGTATCCCACTGTCTCCTACTTGTCCCTTGAGACTCATGACCTACCATTCTGTTCTTACAAATGATAAAAGGTGGTGGTGGTAGAGGAGGAGGGGGAGGGGGAGGCACTGAAGGAGGAGGAAGAGGAGGAAATTTAAAATTAAAAAAAGTAAAGTGGGGGCTGAAGAGATGGCTCAGCGGTTAAGAGCACTGACTGCTCTTACAGAGAACAGGGTTTGAGCACCCATGTGGCGGCTACGAACCATCCTTAACTCCAGTTCCAGGGGAATCCGAAGCTCTCTTCTGACCTCCACAGCATTGCACAACGTGGATGCATTCACATACATGCAGGCAATACACTCATACACATAAAATAAAAATAATAAAATAAAATAATTTTTAAAAAAAAGTAAAGTGGTCAGGCTGGCAGTGTAGCTCAATCAGTAGAGCAATTGCCTAGCATGCACAAAGCCCCGAATTCAATCTCTAGCACCATATAAACTTAGCATGGTGATATACACCTGTAATCCCAAATCCCAAGACTTGGGAGGCAGAGGCAGGAATATCTGAAATTCAAGGTCATCCTCTGGTACATAAAGAGTTTGAGGCCAGCCTAGGCTACATGAGACCCTGTCGCAAAAGAAAAAAAAAAAAAAAGCAAAGTGGGAAATTGGGAATACTTACTGCTATTACTGCTATATCCTAAGCAGCTGATAGGCAGTCCTGGTCCCAATGGACTATGGACACAGTCAAGAACACAAGACCCCTACATTCATTTTTTTCTGGTGGGCATACAGCCTTAGGCCCTCAAAAGCCCTAAGAAATTGTTGGTAAATTTATAATTCCTTTGGGTTTCAAAGGAATTGGACGTTTACCCAAAAATGTACCTAGTTAAGCCAGTTTTAAATATTAAAACAATATTCACATTAAAGCAAAACACACTCTTTAACATTCTAGTTGTATTGTCATTTGTATATTTAGATATGGTTCTTCTTTTTCTCTCAATCATACAGCAACTACAATAGATTGAGACCACATATAGACAACAGGATCCCCAGTCCTGAGCAATGTCCCACACACTCAAGAGGAACTGAATACATGCCTTATTTATATTGTTGTTGCTGAGATAGAGTCTAACATAATCCAGGCTGGCCTTGAACTTGCTATGTAGCAGAAGGTGTCCCTGAAATCCTGATCCTTCTTCATCCACTCCCCAAGTACTAAGAATCCTACAGGTGGGTATCACCATACCCGGATTCTGCAGTGCTTAGAATCCAATCTAAGCAAGAACTTCACCAACTGAACTACATCCTCAGACCATGCCTTCATCAACTTTAGAGGTTCTTAGTGAGACTTCCAAATACCTTCATCAACAACAGGCACTCTCCTACCTTTCCTCCACTTCATTTCTATACTCAGTTCTCATCACTCAACTCCTGCATTCCAAGTACCTTACATTATTAATTCACACCAATGAATTCAGTTCTCCAGTACTCCCTGAACTCTCTCACCTACAGGTTCTTTCTTAAGTGGATCCTATAAAAGATACTGCTGAGACATTTTTTTTGGTTAAGAGCAAATCTAGATTTGGCTACTGGCTATATACCTACTAGTTGAGACCTGTAGGCTGGTCACTGAACTTTATTAAGCTTCAGTTTTCTCACTTGTTAAGGGGAGATAAGACTGCTTAAACCACAGTGTACTGAATGTATTAGAATAGGGAATTAAGAATTTAAGAATTGTATTGAATGTAATAGAATTAAGAAACTAAGAATCAAAAAAGAACCCTAGCAAAAGTATGTAAACATATCCAAAGTGTGTACATTAAAGAGCATCACTTAGTAGCCCTAGAATGTAACCTAGCAATCTGAGTGTAACTGTGTGACTGATCCCATCTCTGGACCGTGAGAAAAAAGAGGAACTTCACGTCGCGAGCATCCAAACCTGACTCGACCCTAGACCACGAGACAACCAAGCTGAGCCGAGACTACCATCACCACATCCGACTGAAACGATGTCACTCGGGCATTGGCCCGAGGACTGGTACTCTTATCTGTCGTTGTGTTATGTGTGAAATGTGTTTATGATTCCCCAAATAAATGCACTGAAAGACATTGGCTCTAGAAATATTTATCCTCCCTCGCATAACGAGGTGATGCTCAACTAAGCCTTAATAACTCCACTCGCGACACCACAGCCTTGTTTTTAAAGATTAAATTAAAACATGAGTATGCAGCATTTTATGAATTTTAAAGTATTCTAGTTATTAGGATTGGTTATTTATATAAGAAATTGTCTCCATTAGCCTAAGAAGACATCTTTTCTCAACTAATAGCCTCCTCTTCTTCCCCTTGGTCTGCTGATTAGCAATGGGCCTATCACTGCATGGCACCCACTGGTATGAGGATAACAGAGGGTCAAGGTCACAACCTCCAAAAGCCACAGATTGTTAACAGTTAGAAGAAACAATCAAAACCAAAAGATTGACTCAGATTAAGTCTCTAAGGTCTAATGTTCAAAACATGCCATATCCAGCCACACATGATACCCAAGACTATACTCACAGGTCTCAGTAGGCTGAGACAGGAGGGTCTTAGTTTGAGGCCAGCCTATGCTACATAGTGAGATTGTCTCAAGAGGGGGGGGGGGGGGCAGGGGATGTGGAGTACATCTATAAATACAAATCCAAAAACCATGCATGCATGAAAATTTAGAACCTCGATCCACAAAATAGGTTTTGTGTTTCTAAATGCTTAATTGACATTTCATGATTTTGCCCCTTGGAGAAAGGCACAAAAAAAGATGTATATCCTCAAACCATGCAATGATCTGAGAGGCTAATAAAATCCCATCACTCACACAGAGACAGGGGGCTCTATATATACTCTAACTTTTAATTTTTATATATATTCACTTTTAATGGCTATCAGTAAGGCTTTGTAGTTATTTTTATTTTTATCACATTTTATTTATTTATTGGGGTGGAGGAGGTGCATGTGTACCTTGGTATAGATGTGGAGATCAGAGGATAATTTGTGGGAGTCTGTTCTTTCCTTCTACCATGTGGATCCTAGTAATTGAATTCAGGCTTGGCAGTAAATGCCTTTACCTGATGAGCCATCTTGCCAGCTCCCAGTGAGGTTCTTTAGAGTAATTTGTAGTTCACAAAGGGCTTTCTCACTTAATCCTCAAAACTAAGTTTTTGAAAGGAATTACTAATCATTTCTAGTGAAGGAAACACAAGTCAGCCAACAGATACGTGGTAGAATTAAAACTTATTTTAATTCTGTGTCCTTAAAGTTAAGGCTATGGCTTTTTAAATCTCGGGATTTTTAAGATGAAGAAGCTAATTTCAGTCTTTGTATAGGAATAGTCTTCATTAGTTTTTCACCTTTTAGAATTTTATGTGTATGAGTGTGGGGACCTAAAGGCCCCACCTTGCATAGGTCCTAAAGAAAGTTACTAGGGGCGCCGCCTGGCTTGCTTTGAAAGTCTGAACCCTCAGGGGAGAGGGGGGAGTTCCAGATACATTTATAAGCTTTGTAACACCTGCAATAAATGAGTCCCTGCTTAACTAGATTCCCCGTTGCATCTGAGTGTCTCTGGGTAATGGGGGCGACGTGGGCTGGGGAACAGCGTGCTTACTCATCCCCAATCATCACCTCCCCAGGGGTCGCTGGTTCGAACCCCCAGCATATGAGTGTTATGCTTGCATGTGTATAAGAGCACCTGTGTTATGTAATGCCTGTGGAAGACAGAGGAGGGCGACAGATCCCCAGGAACTGGAGTTACAGATGGTTGTTAGCTGCCATGTGGGTGCTGGGATTCAAACCTGGGTCTTCTGCAAGAACAATCAGTGCTCTTAACTACTAAGCCATGTCTTCAGTCCAATTTACCTTTGAAATACAAAATTCAAGACTATCCACACTAACATTTAGAATATGTCATGGTTCGAATGTATCATTAATTTATCATACCTATTTCCCTAAGTAAATTAAAACAGATTGAGCTCTTTCTCCATCTGGGCCTTAGCTAAAAATAAAGGTTTGCTTTTGGAGGGGCTAGATTTGGAAGAAACCAGTGAAAAGCTCATTTGTTTTGTTGAAAACAGGAGGCTGAGGAGATGGCTCAGTCTAAAGTACTTGTACAAGCATGAGGACCTGAGTTTGGATCCCTAGCACCCAAAGCCAGGGATAGCAATGAGAATCTAAAATCCAGCAATGAGAACCTAAAATCCTAGAGCTAGATTACAGACAGGAGGATCCCCAAGGCTTGCTAGGCAATCAGTCTTGCTTCATCAATGAGCTCTAGGTTCAGAGAGACCCTGCCTCAAAAAATAAGGTAGAGAGTGATCGAGGAAGGCACTTAAATGTCAACCTCTGGCCTCACATGCACACTTACACACATGAACATGTACACATATATACATACTCTCACATTCACACACTCCACACAGGGAGGGAGGGAGGGAGGGAGGGAGGGAGGGAAAAAATTGTCCAGCTGAGCCCTGAGGAGATGGCTCAGTCAGTAAAGTATCCCAACACCCCAGACTAGAGCTGCTACACCGGAGGCTGTATCCATCCCAGTAACACAATGCCCTGACTCAGAACTACTCTTCGATTTCACTCTATCTGGCTAGACACAAACCTCCCTCCACAGTTGAACTACGAGCCAGGGGTCACTAACATCAAGAAGCTGTAAGTTATGTCAGTGTGAGGAAGTAGGGACAGCCACAGCAGAATCTTCTACCCTATGAAAAGGTAGAGTCAGAGCTGTTTGTTAAAGTTCTAAGCATCTGGCCCCTAAAAGCTGGAAGTTACTACGGTAAGCCAGTTATGTCATTCTCTAACAATGCTCAAGTGCAGCACTAGTTCCACAACTCAGGCTACATCCATTGGAATGCTCAGCTCTGAAGGAACATGTAACACCCAGCTTGAAGGAAAAAAGCATAAAACCACGATTCACAGGAATTCTGTTTATTTCCCACGACTGTTTATTCAGGACTGTTATAGGTTTCTTAAAACACTTTTGTCTAGAAATATCACCTACCTTATATTGCTGTAAAGAAACAGAAGGCTGCTCTTTGGTTAACTCCTCTGATTCAAGTTTGGATTTACTTAGTTCCAATTTATAAAGTACCTGAGAACTTTCTTGTATTCTACAAAACAACTTTTGAGACAAAAATTAAAAAAAAAAAAAAAATGTGAGCTACATAGTAAACTATCAGCCTAAAGGAGAAATTTAAGGCAAGAAGAGTACATGAGTTTTAAAATCTTGAGCTCTTCAGAGTTTCTTTTTGACAGAAAGTTAACATTTATATTTTTAAAACCAAAAACAAAGTATTACTGTGACCAGAAATTAAACCAATTTTTCCATTTCCTTTAAATTTTCTTAAAACTGAAAATGATCTATTCATTTCTATACTCTATCAATTCCTTACCCATAGACGTGTTATAAGATTAGTTCAAGAATTAGTCAAAATAGGACATTTCATGAGGTGCTTGAAGAAAAACCAGAGAAATGAGAGTGCCTCCTTCCACCTGTCACCAAAGCTCTCGTCAAACCACCTACGCTCCAAGAACCCCAAAGTTTGATTTTTTTTTTTTTTCTTTCAAAAAAAGAGCTTGGGCTGCTCCAATGGCTTAGAAGGTAAAAGCCCCTGTCACCAAGACTGATGACCTGAGTCAATGTCCAGAACCCACATGGTAGAAGGGAAAAACCAACTCCCACAAGTTGCCCACTGACCACCTGTTAAATAAACTGTTAAAAACAAATGACCTCAAGGTTGATTTTCTACACCTAAATGAAAGAACTTTCCACACTGGATTTTAATCCCGTATGTAAACTGGATGAACCCCAGGGCAGGTCACACAAGTGCCATGAAGACTTGTGGCCCATTCCACATTCTCCCAAAATCTACGCTCTTTTAAAACAATTTCCAGGGTGAAGTTCACCACTTGCCCACACTTTCTGATACAAAATTCTACCTTTTTTAGGAGAGAACAAATCTGCTGCCGTACTCCTGGTGACTGGCTGTTAAGGTTGTAAGTGATAAAGAACTGAATCCATTGCATTTCTTCTGTGGAAACAATTTCTGTGCTTCGATTACTTTCACAAAGCAAGCCTAAAGTATCTATCCGCACCTAAAATACATCAGGCAAAAATATTAAACTTATTAGTTTGCTCATAAAATAAGCAAAGCCCCAAACACTTTAAATACCTGATTATTTATACAGGTTACCAAAGGGAAAAAGTAAATTTCACTTTGTCCATATACACCTCAGAAAGATGTCTTAATCCAAACACCCTGTAGTTATTTCCTGTAAAATTATGTCATTAAGCCAGGCGTGGTGGCGCATGCCTTTAATCCCAGCACTCAGGAAGCAGAGGCAGGCGGATCTCTGTGAGTTCAAGGCCAGCCTGGTCTACATAGTGAGTTCCAGGACAGCTGGAGCTACAGGGAGACCCTGTCTCAAAAAGACCAAAAAAAAAAACTATCTCATTAAATGTATAAACTGAGGGACTTACACAAATCAACAGTGCAAAACCTTAATCCATGCAACACTTAGCTTCATTCCTTTTCTCCCTTTTCTCAGTGACCTTACACCAGGTCCCTACAGCTCACTCTTGGATTACTACTATAAACTTTATACTGGTCTCCTCACTTTTTTTGCTCCCACTCCAAAAATTCATCTCTGATTCCATTAACAACCAATGGATGAATCCATTCCATTTTTAATTAGGAACCAACAAAGTAATCTGCCTAGCAGTGGAGCATTACGAAACAACGAACAAGACCCTTCCATTCTGACCTTCCATCCATGCCCTCCAATGCTGCATGCTGCTCTGATGCTCCATTTTCTATCTAACCACTGCGATTGGATTCCCTGAGCCTCCCAGATAAAGCATCATACTGACAACTGTTGTCTCTCAGAGTTTCAGATGCTTTACTCAAGTTTTCTTTACCCTTCAAGTAGATGTTGAATAGACTGAGAACAGAGATGACACTTTTCACTTTCTACTCACCCTCTTAATGGTCTCCCTAAAAGAGTGCTAAGCACCAACTTAGAAGCCTTTATACTGGACTACTAAAGGAATCAGAGAATCAGAGACCTAACATATGCAACAAATTCCTAGTTCCTTGCTTCCTTACTTGGCAGTGTTGATGAATTAAGCCTTGCTTTATTCTTGCACTGGACACAAGGTCCTCCCAGGTATGAGATGCAGCCTGAAGATGTCCATGAGCTCTAGCTGTTCGTAGACATGCCATCAAAGCTCCCAGAGCCCCTCTGCTGTGACAAGACCCTAAGGGGAGAAATGACTGTTCTTACCACAAAAGCATAACAGCAAAGACTATTACTTATCTGAAAGTACTTATTGTGCCACGCAAATGACTATGACATGCCAATTTTTGTTTCCAATTAACATTATAGTCCAAGAAATAAAAATCACATTTAAATAATTTTTTTTAATTTTTTTTTTTTAATTTTATGTGTATGAGCGTATTGCCTGCATGTATCTAAGTGCATCCGTGTCATGCAATGCCTGGGGAGGTTAGAAGAGGGTGACAGATCCCCTGGAACTGGCGTTACAGACAATTGTTTGCCGCCATGTGGGTGTTGGGAATCGAACCAGGATCCTCTGGACAAGCAATCATCCCCTAAAGTAAATTCTAACACAAATTAAACTGCCTATTCTAAAATAAAAATTATTGAAAATTACTTGTTGATGCCAATAATTTCACAGAAGCATAATTATCTTAATATAAAGAAATGGCAATTTATTTGCTAATATTTTTACTTTTGTCCTTGACATTTAAAAAAATTCACAATTAGGGGAAAAAAATTAAGTGGAGAAAAGTTGCAAACCACTACACAAAAACTAAAATAACTTTTTGCCAAAAAAAAGTGAAAACACTTTGGTAAACCAAAAGCTATTATTTCCCTGAAAATAAACACTGAACCTCAATGCATATGTTGGAATTATTGTTCTTATTTATAAAGACTATAAAAAGTGGATTACAAAGACGTGTTGGTTTTAGGGACTAGAAAAGGGCCAGTCAGGGAGCATGGTTCACAGGAAACAGAGATACAAAAATAAAGACAACCTTACTTTAGAACAGATTCATGGAACAAATTTTAGATGATCTCTCAAAAAAGCAAGAACTGGCAAATATTAGTTAAATAATGATTTGGTTCTGTGTATAGAAATCAAAACTTCTTTTTTAAGATTTTCTTATTTTTTAATTTTGTGCGTGTGTGTGTGTGTGTGTGTGTGTGTGTATCTGTGTAGTTATGGGCATGTGAATGCAAGCAAGTGCCTGAGTAGTTCAGAAGAGGACACTGGATAGCCTGCAGCTGGAGTTACATGCAGTTTTGGGCAGCCTGACGTGGATACTGGGAAATGAACTCAGGTCCTCTACAAGAGCAGTATAACCTATTAACCACTGAACCATCTCTCCAGCCCCAAGTTTTCCTTTTATCTTTTGGTTACTCTTTAGAATACTGAAGGTTTTTAATTTAACCATTTTAATTTCAAGTGTTTCTTAAATGGTGAGGGATACCATTTTTTTAAATAGAGTGATTTCGGGGCTAGAGAGATGGCTCATCAGTTAAGAACACTGGTTATTCTTGCAGAAAACCTGGGTTTGAATCCCAGCACCCACATGGCATCTAACAACTGTCCGTAACTCCAGTCCCAGGGTATCCGACAGCCTCTTTTAACCTCTGCAGGCACTGCACAACACAAATGCACTTACCTACATGCAGGCAATAACACATACACATAAAATAAAAATAAATAAAATTTAAATAGAATGATTTTAAGATTTATATGAGTCAGGATCTTATTTACATTCATTTTTATTTTATTTCATATTTATTTACTGAGTCTCATGCAGTCATGGTCCACCATGAACTCAATAGTAGACCAGGCTGGCTTTGAATTTAAAGAAATCCTGCCTCTGCCTCCCAAGTACTGGAATTATAGATGTGCACCACCACACCCAGCTACACATTAATTATTGAATTATGCTTTAGTGAAGTGATTTCTTTAGCACTAATGAGTTTCAATGGGATGTTTCCCCCTATTCTAAATGATTACAGAATTCTTTCTTTAGATTGTGCCTTCAATTTTGTCTTTTCCCAAGAGACAAAAACTTACCTGCCTTAAACTTGTCTAAAGATTTTTTTAATTAGTCTAAATCACTGAATAAGCAAATTATATAAAACACACACACCTTTACTCCAGTTTGAGAACAAAATAATAAATTAAAACCTTGTAATTGGACTCATTCTTTGGCTTGGAGAACCCACTTCATGGAAAAATTGCACTTAGCTACAGACAGTAACGTCTGTTACAATCCACAGTAGCGATGCTAATATCCTTCTTTACTACTCATGGAAGTTGGTATAACAAAAAGAAGAAAGAATTATTTGAACTTTAATATAGCAAACATTTGTCTATGGACCTACATTTAGCATCATAATTAGAAATTACTAAAACAAAAATTCCTTTTCCTTACCAGGTTTAGCATCAATAGATGTCTGAAGAATCTTTACCATATACCTTAAGCTTTCAGGGCTGTAATTCAATAATTTTGGCAAGTAATAATCAATCACATATGATTTTTGATCCAGGTTTCCTTCACACAGAATATAAAGGAGAGGAGAAACCCAAGTTTCATGCCACTCATCAATCCAAGTACTGTTGACAATCTGGGATTTCAAATGACTCTTATGATTTTTAAACATGGTTTCCAAGAGGTCACTTGCATAAGGTACCAATGACTGGTCGCCCATCACCTCTAAGATTTGAGATGGAATTGTTTTATCTACTGCCAAAATATGTTCAATTCCTATGCACTCGACCAAACAGCCAAGGCATGTGTACTTTCCTTTAATATGCCATTCCAATCGCAGAAGACTCTTGGCCAGTTCCAGAAAGAAAGGGTCAGTGACCAAATTCCCTTCCATAGCAAGCCAATGCATTTGGAGAAGATTTTTGAATATAATTTTGGTTTGGTGTCTCAGAGCATCTAATGGATGGTCCCAGTGGGTATAAACATATTCCAAAAGCCTCCCAGTTATGCTTGAATTCCCATTCAGTTGGTCCTTTATACTTGGGGAACTTGATTCAAGGATATGTATAGCTGAATTAGTCCAAGATGCCAAGATTCTAGACAGGAACATTTCCAGTGTTGATTCCTTAATCCTAAAGAAAAATGAACCATGATCTATATTATTATAAACTGACTATTTAAAAAAATCATTTCTATACAGTACAAATTTTAAATACAAAGGATAAATAGAAAATGCAATTAAACTTATAACAAAATTTACAAGGCCAAAACATTCCTCATATTTACATGGCAATCTTTTTACTTTCTTTTTTTAAAAAAAAAAAAAAGCCAAAAATGAACATAAAGAAACCTTTAGGGGTTGTGCTGGATAGCACTGGTGTCAACTTGATACACCTGGGTTGAGGGAGGCTCAATTAGGGAACTGCCTCCATAGAACTGGCCTGTGGCCATGTCTGTGGGGCATCTTCTTGACTGTTGAGTGATGTGGGAGGGCCCAGCATACTGTGGGTGGTGCCACCCTGGGCAGGTGGCCCTGTGTTGCATAAGAAAGCAAGCTGAGCAAGGGCCAGGGGAGTAATCCAGCAAGCAGTATTCCTCCATGGCCTGTGCTCCAGCTCCTGCCTCCAGGTTCCTGCCCTGAGTTCCTACTTTGGGCTCCCTCAATGATGAACTGTGACCTGGGAGATGTAAGATAAAATAAACCCTTTCCTCCCCAAGTTGGTATTGGTGAGAGTATTTTGTCATAGCAATGAAGAAACAACTAGGACAGGGTTAAATGAAATATTTAGTATCTTCACTGTGATACTAAGCCAAGCCTTTAATCCCAGCACTTGGGAAGCAGAAGCAGATGGATCTCTGCGAATTCAAGGCCAGCATGATCTACATAGTAAGATCCAGGACAGCTGGGACTACAAGGAAACCCTGTCTCAAAAAAGACAAAAATAAAAGTGTAATTTGGGTGTGTTAGTGCACACCTATAATCCTATTACTTGGGAATAGAAGCAGAAGGATCAAGAGTTCAAGGCCAGCCTTGACTACATGGTAAGTTCAAAGGCAGCCTGGGCAAACTGGGACTTTGGTTCAAAACAAATAACAAAAAACTAGCATAAGGCTAGAGAGATGTCTCAGCAGTTAAGAGCACTGGCTGCTCTTGCAGAGGACCCAAGTTTTGTTACTAGCACCCACACGGTGGCTAATGCCCTCCATAACTCCAGTTCCAGGGGATCTGACACCTTCTTCTGGCCTCTGTGAGCATTTATATACATCCAGGCAAAACACTAATACACATAAAGTAGAATAATCAAATTTTTTTAATTAAAAAAAAAGGTAGTATAGAGACTGAATGTTTATTTTAGAAATGTTCATTACAAATTAGCCTGAACCAGTACTTTCTTAGCCAGGCATGGTGGCAGATACCTTTAGTCCCAGCACTCAGGAGGCAGAGGCAGACGATCTCTGCGAGTTCAAGGCCAGACTGGTCTACACAGCAAGTTCTAGCTGGAGCTACAGAAGAGATCCTATCTAAAAGACAAAAAAAAAAAAAAAACCAGATTAGCCTGAATCAGTAATTTCTTATTTATTTATTTAATTTTATGTGTATGAGTGCTTTGCCTAATGTACCTAAGTGCACCCATGCACGTAATGCTCCTAGAGGATGTCAGATTTCCTGGAACTGGAGTTATGGACAGTTGTTAGCTACCATGTAGGTGCTGGGAGCCAAACTTGGGCCCTCTACAAGAGCAGCCAGTACTCTTAACTGCTGAGCATCTCTCCAGCCACAGAACAAGTAATTTCTATAACAATCATTCTCTTCATGCTGTCTTCTCTCTCATACCTATTTTATGTCTACACATCTCTTTTAAGATTTATCCTAATCACATTTAATTAAATTAGGTATGCTGGCTCAGTTGTGTCTTTGATATGCTTTCCTAGCAAAATAAAAGACAACAAAATCAAAACTCACTGTGAACTCAAGATGAACAAAGCATGCACAGTGTCCAAGAGCAGGGTCTCCCTGCCTGGGCCCATGCTCCCATCCTGCCAATCCAACATAGCAAGTGTCCCCTGACACAGGAATAAGAGAGCTGAACTGGGCATATCAGCACAACAAAGGTTCTTACAGCTGCTCATGAACCATGTGGGGATGCTGGTGTAGTCCACTGATTGGAGAAGCAAGCTGCTAATCTGGAAAATATAACAGAATTAATAATATACAAAGTCTTTAAAACTTCTTAAGAGCCAGGTGTTGTGGTGCACACCTTTAATCCCAGCACTCGGGAGGCAGGGTCAGCTGGGGCTAAGGGAGAACAAGTCTTAAAAAGACCCCCCCACCCCCACAAAAAAAATTTTCAAGAGATATTTCAAAATACAAACCTAAAAATCTCTTTTTCCTGAAATACTGTAGGAGAACTAATGGTAAAACAACCACAAACATTAAAAAGATTACACTAATATTAAAAGAAAAAAAAAATTAAATGTGAACACATGAATCCTAGCATTGCTATGAAGGTACTGGTAGAACACAAAAGGTCGCCACCTGCATGTTGGCAAACTTGATGCTTTCAGAAGTGATTCCAGAAAAAAAAATTTCAATTTTACCTAAAAACAATTACTTGGCATGGTCTCAGAAGAATGCAACACATATTTAACATAAAGTTAGGCTAAAGGACAAAGTAAATTCATAGATAACACTAGGGGGGAACACGCTAGCAGTAAGTAACAATGACCATGGTCTAATTACCAAATTATACTTTACATATGGAGCAAATTCGCTAAAAATTGACTCAAACATGCTTCTTGTACTATGAAGTACATGATTTGGATTATTCTTAATAAAAATAACATATTTAACAGAAAATTATTAGTGCTTGTCTAAACATTAATCATTGCAAATATCTCTTATGATACTGAGACCCAGAACTGAAGAGAGCACTAGAAAAACACTAGGAGGCTATTAACCAAAAATGTTGACAGTAGTCATCTTTACAAAATGGACTTACAGGTAGTTGTCATTATCTTGTCTCTTTTTGCTTTATTTGAATATTTAGAACTGTCTTTATCAAAGTTATTGGAAAACCCCAAACTATGCCAAATAAATTTTTTCTTTTATATTTATTATTATTTTATGTGTATGCATGTATTGCCTGCATGTAAGTGAGTGCACCTGTGTCGTGCAATGCCATGGAGGTCAGAAGAGAGCTTCAGATTCTCCTGGAACTGGAGTTAAGGACAGTTGTTTGCTGCCAGGTGGGTCCTCGGATTCAAACCCAGGTCTCCTGCAAGAATAGTCAGTGTTCTTAACCACCAAGCCATCTTTTTGGGGAGACTGGTGAGATAGTTCAGTGGATGAAAGTGCTTGCCATCAAGCCTGACAACCTGAGTTTGATCTCCAGGACCCACATGGCAGAAGGAGAGAATCAATTTCTGCAAGTTGTCATCTGATCTACTCTCTCTCTCTCTCTCTCTCTCTCTCTCTCTCTCTCTCTCTCAAATAGTGCAAAATAATAAAAAATTTTAATTAAAAAATCTTGAATATACATCTCACTGAAGAACAGGTCTAAAATGGAGATGCACTCACCAACTCAGGAATCTTTTCAGATGGATAAAACATAGTCTTGATAAAAAGAATAACAGCTAATCCAGATGTGCTCTGAACAGTCTGTAGTAGGTCATCTATTTGGCAGAAAAAGCAGAGAACATGTGTGAAAGGATGGAGAGCCTGGTACAGTGCAAAGAACAAATGCTTTGGGGTCAGACAGTCCTGGGTCCAATTTCTAGCCTTACTATATCTAACTGAATAGATCCCAGACAAGTTATTTAACCTCCCAGAAACTCAGCTTTCTCTTCAGGAAAATAGGAACTCTAACTCATATCTGACAAGCTACCATAAAGCTTAAAAGAAAATGAACTGAAAGGCTAAGCTCAGTACATACTCAGTAAATGAGAATCCTGCCTCTCTTCTCCAGCATCTGCTCTCATTCTCTCTGCATACCTACTAGCATACCACCAATGATGCTGCTGCTGTATCCCAACCCAACAAACCTAATTTTTCTTAAAAAGCTTTTAAGGCTTGTGTGAAAAACTACTACACCTATGCTAATTAGAAACTTTGCTGTCACTGTGCTCAAAATGATTAAACAATTTTGACTTATTATCCTCTTTTTGTTTAGACAAATATTAGCCTCTGATGTGGTAGTATACACAAGCCAAACTAAGAAGTATGACAGAAACCATAAGTTAACTATTAAATACCCATTCTGACCTTCATCACTGATTTAAAAAAAAAAACAAAACTATAACTGTGGGTCCCTACATGCCTAACCAAAGGCAGGATACTTATTTCCTTCTTTTTTTATTTTATCATTTTTATTTTATGTGTACGTGTGTATTGCCTACATGTAGGTAAGTGCACCTGTGTAATGCAATGCCTGCAGAGGACAGAAGCGGCTGTTGGAGCCCCTGGAGCTAGATGGAGTTACAGTTATTAGCTGCCATGTGGGTGCTGGGATTCAAACCTGGGTCTTCTGCAAGAACAACTAGTTTTCTTAACCACTGAGCCATCTCTCCAGCTCCCTTTCTTTTCTTTTTTCAATATCTTATTATTTTTATTTTATGAATGTTTGCATGTATGTAAGTGCACCCATGTCATGCAATGCCTGCAGAGGTCAAAAGAGGGCATCAGATTCCCCTGGAACTGAAGTTACAGATGGTTGTTAGTAGCCATGTGGGTACTGGGAATTGAACCCAGGTCCTCTGCAAGAGCAGCCAGTGTCTTAACTGCTGAGCCATCTCTCCAGTCCCTCCTCAATCTTTCTTGAAACTAAAGGCAGCCATGGGAGAGGGTTCATATCAATAGACTTAAAAGTCCTTTGAATTCCTTTGTTTTTATGATTAAAGATATAATTGGCTCTTCTGCCCTAAACAGATATATGATGTCTACAGCTACAGCAGATAGACAGATGCCAAACGAGGCAAGAAGCACATGGGTAGAAGCCAACGCACTCAAAATGCCACAGCAAAAAGGCAGAAACTGGGACCTATAGTACCTATGGTGTCTGCAGGAGTTCTGAGTGACCTGACTCTGAATTTCTTATGTGGTATGAGAAGATAGGAGCATTTGCTTACATTCCTGATGTTCAGTTTTCTGTTACTTGTAGCTAGACACCTTACTGATACAAGAAGCTTAAACTCCTAAAGAATGGCATTGATTAAATGCCAACTTTTTAGAAAAGATGCTCTCTCATATTAAAATTGTTGAGTTCTCTGTATTTTACCAAACTCCTTTATTTACAGATTGAGAAATATCCCATTTAAAGGGTAAATATCCTCTGAAATTTTGTCTTGATCAAAGTGATTAGTTAGGGGCTGGAGAGATGGCTCAGAAATTAAGAGTGCTTGCTGTGGGGCTGGAAAGATGGCTCAGTAGTTAAGACCACTGGCTGCTCTTGCAAAGGATCTGGGATTGAGTCTCAGCACCCACATGGCAGCTAACAACCATCCATAACTGCAGTTCCAGGGGCTCTAATGCATTCTTCTTACCTCTGTGGGCATGGCACAACATGGGTACACTTGCATACATATAGGCAATATACTCACACAAATAAAATTAAAATAATAAAATATTTTTTTAAAAGAGTGCTTGCTGTTCCTGTGGAGGACAAGTCCAGTTCCAGCACCCATATCAGGTGGTTCACAACCTCCTGTTAACTCTGGCTCCAGGGGATTCAACACCCTCATCCGGCCTCTGCAGGATACACACACACACACACACACACACACACACACACTTCCAAATTCTTCTTTAAAAATGTAACCAGAGTGCCTCCCTACCCCAATTCTCTCATTCACCCCCACCCCATCCCCTACCATAGGCGGGCTCCAATTCCTTCAGCTCAAGTCTCAAGACTAGCTTCCCAAGCCAGATTAACCAAGCACCCTACCACAGATCCCTAAATCCTCACCCAGGTAGTCCTCTCACCACCAAATTCCCAGCCCCCAGATCAGGCAGACAGACCTGCTCAGTCAGGACTCTGACCAGTCTACTACCCAGCAAGAACTTGAAATACCTATCAATTTGTCTTCCATACTAAAACAAAAAGTAACTAAGTTACATAAACAATATTAACAGAACCAAAAATTAAATTAAACAAAAGCAGAGTAGAAGTTTCTGTTGAACACATAACCAACAAAGAACATCCATAAGCCCAAACGGCAACACAAAAACACAAACAATATGAAAAACCAGGAAAATATGTCCCCAACAAAACCCATGAGTCCTACAGAAAGGCACAGCATTGAGTATCATCCTGTAGAACCCCAGGACGCAGAATTTAAAAGCACAATCATAAACATGATCAAAGAAATTTAAGAATAAACACGCAAAAATAACTCAACTCAAAGAGGAAAGGCATAAACATTTGATGGAAGCCCAGAATATACAGATATGCGGCTTAATGAGATATCCAAAAAAAAAAAAAAAACATAACTTGAAAGACGAATTCACTAAAGAGATAAAAATAGACGAATTCACTAAAGAGATAAAAATAGTGACAAAAACCCAAATTGAAATGAACACGGGACTGAAAAACTCAATAAACCAGTTAGAAACAACAGGAGAGAAAGTCTCACAAGCAGAATGAATGAAATGGAAAACAAAATATCAACACTAGAGGATAAAGTTGAAGATCTGGACTCCTTAAGCAAAGATTATGAAAACTTCAAAAAAAAACACAAGAATGGAATACTCAGGAAATGTGGGACAACATGAAATGACCAAATCTACATATTATAGGCATACAGAAAGGAGAAGAAACTCAAACCAATGTCATTAAACAGATCTTCAATAGGATTATAGAAGAAAAAGTCCCTAAATTAAAGAAAGACATACCTATAGAGATTCAAGAAGCACAGAGAACACCATTAAGACATGATCAGAACAGAAAGTCCCCACAGCATATCACAGTAAAAACATTGAGCTGAAATGAAAATAGAATTTAAAAACTCAATAAGTTTGAAATAACAGGAGAAAGCCTCACAAGCAGAATGAAAGAAATCGAAAACAGCCTGGATGACAAAGTTGAAGAGCTGGACTGCTCAAGCAAAAACTATGAAATTTTTTTAAAAAGGAACGGAATATGCAGGAAATGTGGACAGCATGAAAAGACCAAATCGATGCATCCTAGGCATATAGGAAGGAGAAGAATCTCAGGCCAATGGCATTAAACAAATCTTCAATAGGATTATAGAAGAAAACGTCCCTAAATTAAGAAATAAATACCTACAGGAATTCAAGAAGCACATAGCACATTAATCAGACATAACTAGAACAGAAAGCTCCCATGGCATATTATAGTAAAAACATTAAATGTACAGAACAAAGAGAGGGTACTGAAAGCTGCTAAGAAAAACAAGTAGTTACGTATAAAGGAAAACCCATCAGAATTACTTTTCAATGCAAACTATGAAAGCCAGAAGAGCCTAGAACAAAGTATTCCCAGTTCTAAACAACCATGGATGCCAAACCTGAATACTTTATCCAGCAAAACTATCTATCAAGGTCGAAGGGGAACAGAAAATTTTCCATGACACAAATAGGCTGAAAGAATTCATGTCTTCCAAACCAGCACTACAGAGACTACTTGAAACAATAGAAAGGAACAAAGAAAGGAGTATGCCCAAGAGGCTACATAAAGAAAATAAAGGTGTAACAACGGAAACACAAAATAGGACCACAAACGCAAAGAAATTAAAATGACACTATACAATACACATCTTTCAATAGTAACACTAAATATCAATGGCCTCAACTCCCCTGTCAAAAGACACAGGCTGGTGCAATGGATCAAGAAAGAAAACCCATCTTTTTGTTGTCTTCAAGAAACTCACCTCACCTTCAAGGATAGACACCATCTTAGTATGAAAGGATGGGAAAAAAATATTCCAAGCAAATGGCCCTAAGAAGTAAGCAGGTGTCACAATTCTAATATCTGACAAAATAGACTTCAAATTAAAACTCATCAGGAGATAAGGAGGGTTACTTCATTCTAATCAAAGGAACAACTGACCAAAAAGATATTACAATCATGAACATTTATGCACCAAACTCTGAAACACCCAATTTCATAAAATCAGTAGTCCAGGACTATAAAACAGAGATTGACACCAATCAGTGATAGTGGGAGACTTTAATACTCCACTTTTTTTTTTTTTTTTTTTTTTTGGTCTTTTTGAGACAGGGTCTCCCTGTAGCCCCAGCTGTCCTGGAACTCACTATGCAGACCAGGCTGGCCTCGAACTCACAAAGATCCGCCTGCCTCTGTCTCCCAAGTGCTGGGATTAAAGGTGTGCGCCACCATGCCCAGCATTACCCCACTTTCTTCAATAGACAGGTCTACTGGACAAAGAATAAACAGAGCGATATCAGAATTAAATGACATACTATAAGAAATGGACCTAACAGATATATACAGAATATTCCACCCAACCACCAAAGAATACACTTTCCACTCAGCAGCTCATGAAAGTTATTCTAAAATTGACTACATTCTGGGACACAAAACAAATCTCAACAAATGAAAAAAAAATAGTAATTCCAGGCCTTCTATCAGACCACAGTGCTATAAAGCTTATAATCAACAGCAAAAGAAGCTCTAGTAAATACATGAACTCATGGA